TGGACATACTTTTGAGGAGGAGAACTATTCAACCCACTAAAACTCCTTAATTAGAGTCACCAATTTTTAATATTTTGTCCTACCCCCCAAAAAATTGCAAGTGTCAGGCACTTCAGCTCTAAATATTTCAACAGGAATTTCTTAAGGGTAAAGAATGTTTCTACTAAGGAGTGTCAGAGGAGCTGCATCACTGGACAGTGATGAAATTCCCAACCTTACACTTAGCCATCTCTGACACCACCACAGCAAGTCAGGAAAGAAATGCTGTACTACCACTTTATGGGGTAGAAGTCTAGGCTCCCCATATTATCCTTATTGTTACCAGGGTGTTTCATTAGTGCATTTGGCTCTGTATGGCATCTCTGGGAAGACTCATGGTTTGATATCTGGTAAACGTGGAAGTATCGGTAGCCTATTCCTTCTTTGTTGCCTCGGGTGCAATGGGACCACAGTTGTTTCTGTGGTGCTTGGTTCTACTAGAGAAACAATTATCTAAAAATTTCCCATTTTGAATTCCCTTTCATGATGGGTTTATTGTTTGTTTGTTTTTACTTTATGCTATTTAATGCCATGTTCTCTGGTACAGCAAAATACATATATTGAGTAAATGTAAACCTTCACAAATGCACAAGGACCTGCTTCATGAGTTTCCCTCTTCCACAAGCCACCAGACTTACATGTTGTGCCCCTTCTGGAGACAGAAAAGTTAATCTCTCTTCCCATAGACATGCCACCCAACCTATAGTGAATGGGTGACCCCCTAAGTTATCAGAAATTTCCAGAGTGGAACATATGTGGTCCCTGAATTGAGTAGGGTGATAGTTACTTCCACGCAAGTCACCTGCTAAACATAACATGGAGCTTCCCCTTCAGAGTGGCATGCCTTCCTCCGACACTGCAGGGTCCACACCACACACCTGTCCCTGACTCTCCATGTGTGTCTTGCCAGATCCCTATCAGGGATGGAGTAAGACAGTAGACAATGAGCAATGGTGAGGAAAGAGAAGCTGGGGATGGGGTCCTGGTACCCAAAGAGCAGAGGTGAGAAGAAATTAAAACACATGCAAGCCAAGACAGTAAGCCCACAGAGCATGGTTCGTTGACCCTTTAGGCTTCATTTACAAAACACAAGCTCAAAGAAAAAATTGATGATTTTAAGACAACACCTTGCAGATCATTAAAGACCAAATATGGGGTGGGGCCCATCTGAGGATAGCACTCACATGCCTATGAAGCAAACTCTATTTGTTGTGCACTCAGTGTATATTTCTCAACAAGGAAAATTTTTTTTCTTTTTTTAAGATTTATTTATTTTACTTGAAAGTCAGAGTTACACAGAAAGAGAGGAGAGGCAGAGAGAGAGAGGTCTTCCATCCACTGGTTCACTCCCCAGTTGGCCGCAATCGCTGGAGCTGTGCCAATCTGAAGCCAGGAGCCAGGAGCTTCTTCTGGGTCTCCCACATGGGTGCAGGGGCCCAAGGATTTGGGCCATCTTCTACTGCTTTCTCAGGCCATAGCAGAGAGCTGGATCAGAAGTGGAGCAGGCCGGCGCCGCGGCTCACTAGGCTAATCCTCCACCTTGCGACGCCGGCACACCGGGTTCTAGTCTCAGTCAGGGCGCCGGATTCTGTCCCAGTTGCCCCTCTTCCAGGCCAGCTCTCTGCTGTGGCCAGGGAGTGCAGTGGAGGATGGCCCAAGTACTTGGGCCCTGCACCCCATGGGAGACCAGGAGAAGTACCTGGCTCCTGCCATCGGATCAGGGTGGTGCGCCGGCCGCAGCACGACAGCCGCGGCGGCCATTGGAGGGTGAACCAACGGCAAAGGAAGACCTTTCTCTCTGTCTCTCTCTCTCACTGTCCACTCTGCCTGACAAAAAAAAAAAAAAGAAGTGGAGCAGCCATGTCTCAAACCGGTGCCCATATGGGATGCTGGCACTGCAGGCGGTGGCTTTACCTTCTACGCCACAGCGCCAGTACTACAAGGAAACGTCTAACAAGTCTTTGTGCAGCCTCATCCAGTGACTTTTCCTGATATCAATTCTATACAGTGATTTTCATTCATGATCCCTTTTGCTGCAAAAGGGTTTCACATGAATCAGTAATCCTTAGAAATATGAATGTATGTCCACATTTTTCTTGGTTTCTCCCAAAGTTCACCTTAGGTTTATTTGATTGCTATCCACTTAACTGACATCCATTAAGGCAACTCACTTTATTTGTAACAAGAGAAAATGGTTCAGCAACAAACTTGTCTCCCAGAATCACTTCTTTTCTATACTCTGAAAAGTCTTCTATTTTCATGTCATTCCTTTACTTTAAATCCAGTGCACTCTATATAAATGCAAATCCCCCTAGTAATGGCCCACATTAAGCTTTCTCATTCATTTAAGACTGGGTGACTGTAATGTGTATGCAAAAATTTAAGAGGTTAGACCTCATAGTTAAGTGTTCTTACTAAAAAAAGTGAAGGGGATACATGGAAACTTTTGGGGGTAATGGATATGTCTACTGACATATTTGTGATGATTTCACATGGATATGCATGCATGCAAACTCAGCAAATTATACACCGTAAATTTATGTAAGGTTTTGTATCTCAATTGATCCTCAAGACAGTTGTTATTAAAACGTTATCTTGGGGAATCAGTGCTGTGGCATAGAGGGTTAAGCTGTTGCCTGCAATGCCAGCATCCCACATGAGCAATGAGAAGGCAACAGAAAATGGCCCAAGTGCTTGGGACCCTACCAACAATGTGAGAGAATCGTATGGAATTCCAGGCTCCTGGTTTCCACTTGGCCCAGCCATCGCAGCCATTTGCGGGATGAACTACCAGATGGAAGATATCTCTCTCTCTCTCTCTCTCTCTCTCTCTCTCTGTAACTCTGCTTTTCAAATATATAAATACATATTTTAAATTAAAAAATGTTTTTTAGGGCTAGGCATGAGTTTGATACAGTTGTTAAGACCTTACTTGGGACACCTGAATCCTATATTGGAGTGCCTAGTTTGAGTCCTCCAGAAAAAAAGCTTCCTTGGTGTTGCTTAAGTGGTGGCAGCCATCTCCTACTCAGCATTATAACTGACCACAGACCCCACGTGAAGTCCAAGATCATCAAAAGAAGATGAAGGCCGGTGCCATGGCTCAATAGGCTAATCCTCCACCTAGCGGTGCTGGCACACGGGGTTCTGGTCCCAGTCAGGGTGCCGGATTCTGTCCCAGTTGCCCCTCTTCCAGGCCAGCTCTCTGCTGTGGCCCGGGAAGGCAGTGGAGGATGGCCCAAGTCCTTGGGCCCTGCACCCCATGGGAGACCAGGAGAAGCACCTGGCTCTTGCCTTCGGATCAGCGCAGTGTGCCGGCTGCAGCGCGCCAGCTGTGGCGGCCATTGGAGGGTGAACCAATGACAAAAGGAAGACCTTTCTCTCTGTCTCTTTCTCTCACTGTCCACTCTGTCTGTCAAAAAAAAAAAAAAAGGATGAAAAATTTCAACCAGCACTATCTGCAATGCCAGTATATCAAGATTAAACGTTACTGGCAGAAACCTGGAGGTTTTGACAACAGGAGGGGGAGGATTCAAAGGGAAGAGCTTGATGTTCAGATACTCATCATTGGTTATGGGTACAATAAGAAAACAAAGCACATGGTTCCCAGCAACTTCTAGAAGTTTTTGCTGCACAATGTCAAGGAGCTGGAAGTGCTGCTGATGTATAACAAATCTTACTGTGCTGAGATTGCTCCCAGAGTGTCCTCCAAGAATTGCAAACCATCATGGGAAGAGCAACCCAACCAGCCATTAGAATCACCAATCCCAATACGAGGCTGTTCAGTGAAGAAAATGAGTAGATAGCTTAGCTTGTGTAAATAAAACCATAAAAATTGTCGAATAACTTTTATATTACCTGACTATAAAATAAATTTTAATTAATAAATAAAACTGCATTTCCTTTTAAAAGATTTATTTATTTGAAAGGCAGCATTACAGAGAGGGAGAGGCAGAGCAAGAGAGATCTATTTTTTAATGATTTATTTATTTATTTGAAAGTCAAAGTTACACAGAGAGAGAAAGAGAGGCAGAGAAAGAGAGAGAAAGAGAGAGGTCTCCCATCCACTGGTGCACTCCCCAATTAGCCACAACAGCCAGAGCTGCACCCACCCGATGTCAAGAGCCAGGAGCTTCTTCTGGGTCTCCCACGTAGCTGTAGGGGCCAAAGGACTTGGGCCATCTTCTACTGCTTTTCCAGGCCATAACAGAGAGATGGATAGGAAGTGGAGCAGCCGGGATTTGAACCGGTGCCCATATGGGATGCCACCACTGCAGGCAGCATTCTTTTTACCCACTACACCACAGCATAGGCCCCTGTCTATTGTTTTATTCCCCAAAAATGCCTCAATGGCCAGAGCTGGCCTACCGAAACCAGGAGTCCACCCTAGTCTCCCTCGTCGGTGGTAGGAGCTGAGGCTGCTTTTCCAGGCATATTAGCAGGGCTCTGGTTTGGAAGTGAAACAGGAACCCATATTGAATACCACCAGCCTCACAGGTGGTGGTTTAACCCACTGTGTCATAACCTCAGCCCTAAAAGTATTTTTACTTTGAAATATTTAAGTTTTGGTGCTGGTTCTGTAGCACACCAAATTAAGCTGCTGTCTGCAGCACCAGCATACCATATGGGCTCCAATACGAGTCTGAGCTGCTCCAGTTCCAATCCAGCTCCCTGATAATTGCCTAGGAAAGCAGCAGATGATGGCCCAAGTTCTTGGGTCCCTGCATCCACATAGACACAGAGGAAGCTCCTGGCTTCTGGCTTATTGCAGCCATTTGGGAAGTGAATCAGCAAAATGACAGTCTCTCTCTATTAACTCTGCCTTTCAAATAAATAAATAAATAAATGCTTTAAAAGAATTTTTGAATTTTAAATAGATTTTTATAAATCTCAAATTTTGTTAAAGTAAAAGAAATTTTGTGGAAGTAAATGTATCACTTAGCATGGAATTTTTTAACCAGTTATTATTTTTTTTTTGCCTTGTTCACAAAAGACTTTATTATCTAGTGATGCATACTGAGAACATACAGAAATCTGCATGGTCCACGTCACATGCAGTAGAACAATCTTCACTTTACAATAAGTGAGTGTCAACTGTTTTATGCAATAGACAACACTTTAAAGTTACATCCTTAAAGAAAAGCTTCATTTACAAAAGAAATAAAAGGTAAAGAAGCAATTACCGCTTTTAAAAAGCAGCTGCTTTGTTCAAGAGTGGAAGGTTTATGCCTGTATTGAAAGACAACATGATCACAAATAATGAAAACAATGAACAAATGAAAAACACTTTTACCATAAAGCAGTACACTTTCAAAATGACATACAAATAGTTAAAAATTTCATTATGTTGTCTATCTAACCTTTAAATATGAGGACTGTCAGAATTAGGCCTCGACATTTTTAATTAGTAAATGAAAACTACGCATCATTTCTATGTCACTAGGAACTATATTTAACAAAATGTATATAAAGTCTATAGCAAGTTGATTTTAAAAAGTAAAGTTAATAGAAACAGTACACTGAAGGCGCTCTATCCATCAAGCGCGTACTCTTCAAATTTTAAATGTGATGAACAGAACAGAAACTGTTAACTATGCCACGGTTGTGATGCCAAAAAATAAAACAAGATCAATTATCACACATGCAGGGAATTCTGCCACAAAGCTAATATTCCTTATTTGTCAATTGCTCCAGTAAAATAACATCCTAAAACACCAATGATGGTGATGGGTTAGCTTACCTTCAGTGTACTGAATGTTGGACACACCCTGCTTTACAAGGAGACCATCCCTGCAGGCAGGCTCAGAAGGAACAGACTCCCTTCGGCACTGACTACACCAAGGGCGTGCTGCTGTGGCCTGCACACACACACCTAGGGAAACGTGAATATAAACAGCATTTATGCTGGCCATCGCATCGGAGTTATTTTTTTTTAAGATTTAGTTATTTATTTGAAAGGCAGAGTTACAGAGAGGCAGAGACAGAGAGAATGGCCAGCGCCACGGCTCACTAGGCTAATCCTCCACCTGCAGCGCCGGCACACTGGGTTCTAGTCCCGCTTGGGGCGCCGGATTCTGTCCAGCTCTCTGCTGTGGCCCGGGAGTGCAGTGGAGGATGGCCCAGGTCCTTGGGCCCTGCACCCGCATGGGAGACCAGGAGGAAGCACCTGGCTCCTGGCTTCGGATCAGCACAGCACGCTGGCCGCAACATGCGTCGTCGTAGCGCCACTTGGGGG